GAAATTTCACAAAAATCGAATTTTGAGTAATTGCGGCCGTTTTAGAACGTTTTTGACGTTTCTAGAGAAATTTTAGATGATTTTTAGGCAATTTTCAAAAGTTTCAGAAAACTTCACAAAGTTGAAATTTCTAAAAAATATGAAAATTCCAAAAATCAACGTTTTTCATTTTCCCACAGTTTGCGGCTTTGACAAGGTTCCGAAACCGAGCCCTCCTCCATGCACAGGCCAATCGCGCCCCGTTGGGCATGCGCGCCCAGTTCATCATGGTGGCCTAACTTTTGCAAGTTGCGTTTTCTAGGCCACCACGTTCAAATGACCTAGAAATAGCCTCACATGCCCCTGAAGTGGTTTCTAGGCCATTTTAACATACCGGCCTAACTTTTTGCATATTGAGTTTTCTAGGCCACCATGGAAAAATGACTCAGTAATGACCTAGAATGTTCCTGGAGTGGTTTCTAGGTCTTTCTGACGTGATGGCCTAGATAAATCCAATTTGCGAAAGTTAGGCCACCACTTCAAAATGGCCTAGAAAACCCACCAGGGGCATGTTAGGCCATTTTAACTTGATGGCCTAACTTTTGCTAGTTGGGTTTTCTAGGCCACCACGTTCAAATGGCCTAGAAATATCCTTACATGCTCCTGAAGTGGTTTCTAGGTCATTTTGACATGGTGGCCTAGAAAAATCTCAATTTGCAAAAGTTAGGCCACCATGTGAAAATGCCCGGAAATGGTCTCAAATGGCCCCAAACTTCAATTTTTCCAGGAAAAACTGTGGTCCGGCATCTCGTCGCACGTCTTCGATCAGATCCTCATGCCCGCCTACGCATCGTCGAGTTCTGGATCGTTCAACACTACGGTAGACATCAAGCTGAAGCATTTCGCCGATAAACAGTTGGCTCAAAAGAGCATCGAAACCGGATGGGACACGTTGAAAGAGGTGTTCTTTAGGCAGATTAATCAGGACGCAAGGACCCGGAAGGATCATGACCCGGTGTTTGATCCGTTGAAGGTACTAAGAATTAGGCTGAAAATTGTAGAAAACACGGTTAAAATTGAGCTGGAATAGGTCAAAAATGCGAAATTCTGCGAAATTTGACCCCGGAAAACGTTAAAAACCCCCATTTTTTGACCCCGAAAACCCCAAAAATCGACTTTTTCCAAAAATTGCACACATGGCCTAGTGGGATTTTCGACGAGCAAATTTGGATCTAGAGGTCCCAGGTTCGAATCCCATGGGTGGCAATTTTTTTTTGTTTTTAGAAGATTTTTGAGTTTAAAAAGTTTGAAATTTGGATCTAGAGGTCGCGGGTTCGACCCCCACCGGTGGCAAAAATTTTTTTTAAAATTTTTTTTTGGAATTTTTAGTCTTTAAAGGTTTCAGGAGGTTCTAAAATCATGAAAATGATTGAAAATACATAAAAAAAGAGCCAGAAATCATGAAAAACCCCAAAAATCGACTTTTTTCAAAAATTGCCCACATGGCCTAGTGGGATTTTCGACATGCAAATTTGGATCTAGAGGTCGCGGGTTCGATTCCCAAATTGTAGAAAACACGGTGAAAAATAAGCTGGAATAGGTCAAAAAAACAGACACCCGCAAATTTTTGGTTACTGTAGTTTTGGAATAGGCAAGACTCGGCCGCCTAGCGGCCCACAGCCCTGACCGCGGCCGACCATTTGAATTCCATAACATTGTCCATGAAGTTTCCAACTTTTCAGTTCAATTTTCAACTTTCTAGCTCTTTTAGAACCCGAGATATAGCTATTTGAAGTTTCCGGAG